TCCAAACCCACAGTCATTGGCAGAAAAAGGACAATGGGTAGAAGTTTAATGTGCCCAAATTTGACCTTGGACTAAATTTGTAATTTCAGACATTCTTTTAAGTAGCCCTGTGGGACATTTGGAAAGGCAGGTCAAAGATATGTCTCCAAGCTTCCTAGAAGGAAAAGAAACCCCCTAATTGCATGCTTTATGGTGCTCTATTGACATAAACAAATTGGCTGCTGCTCAGAAGGAATTCAGTCCCTCCGGAAGCAGAAATCTCTGACAGGGACTCTGGAGTTACGGTGGGAAGCCTGCTAGCCGGTTCCAATATGAACACAGTCTTCATCTTTTTATGTCTCTCTCTCTCTTTTTTTTATGGAGCCTGTAAATGTTAGCTGATTAATATCTCCAAAGGATAATTTAGAAAGTACAGTTTTATGAAGGTCCGAGACAATGCTGGCCAAGAATGCAGGGCTAAACCCAGGGTAATATTTAGAACATCCAGAGGGATGGACAAACTCCATGACCCCAGGCAATGCTCCAAAAATACTCTTTCTCACAAGTGGAGTTTTCATGATGTTTGGACAAGGGAGAGCACACGATTACAATCTAGGTAAGGAATCTAGAGGGCAAGTGTCTATGTTGCTGATTCGGTGCTGACTCAGTAGAAGGAGATGGTCCATCTATTAACATTAAGGAAGATGCCCGATGCTGCAGCTGTGTCTACATGGGCAACCGCTGCTCCCCCAGTGTGACCGCCACAGCACCAGTGGCCCCACTACCCCTCGGGGTCGAGAGCTGTCTTGCTTGAGGACCTCTGGCCTCAGTGTGGGTCACTTCACTCTCTCCCTGCAAAGGCGCTTCATGCTGGGCTGGAAGAGTCTTTTGGCAGATTCCAAATACCGAGGGGAGACCGCGGGAGGCTCAGGCCTGGGGACCTAGTCCCCCACGGCAGGTCCTAATCTGGGCTCAGGCTCCTCCTAGAGTCCACCCGGGGGGGCTGCTTCCACAACCTCCGGTGGGTCTGCTTTCCCCAGTGTGGTACCCACCTTGCGCTCCGCTCCACCATGTTCTCACGGTCCCCGCCATGCCGGCCTGACTGGTCAGAGGAAAACCAAGGGCAGGGTGTTGAACGTGCATTTCTCTTTAAGATTCGATGTTTAAGAAACGTGCACTGAAAGTAAAGATCCTTACTTGGGAGAGACCCAACTGATGCGGGGCCAGGGCAGGCGAGGAGAAGCAGGGCGAAGATTCCCCGAGGCTGATGGGATTCAGAGCAGAGTCCTGTTCTCAGGGTTTTATCTTGGGCTTTTATCTGGCCAACGGGATCTGAGGTCCCTCTTGCAGGACTGGAGGGCAGAGGGTGGAGCCAGGCCTGTTCCGAGATCCTGTCAGTCAAACAGATGGGAGAAACCTTCAGTCATCACTGAAGTAAGCTTGCGAGTCCCGATTTCCAGCAGACCTGGAGTTGCTCAGCTGACAAACGGTGAGCTGAGACTGGGGCTAAAGGACTCGCCCGCCATCCTGAGGAGCTGCTGCTCTGGCACTGACTCTGGGGCCATCTTTCCCCGTGGATATGAGGGCTCACACCTGCCCCAGCCGGGCCTTTCTCTCGGTCTGAGTGGCCCACCCTCTTCCTCTGCTAGCTCTCACATCTTTCTAACTCTAAAGGCGAGTGCTGGCCTTTGGGAAGTTCTAAGTTCTCTAACTTCTGTGATTCGTTGTTGCTGTTACTCAATTGCTAAGTCGTGTCCCACTCTTCCTCTCCTGGAGTTTGCTCAAACTCTTAGCCGTTGAGTCAGTGAGCCCACCCAACCATCTCCTCCTCCATTGCCGCCTTCTCCTCCTGCCCTTAGTCTTTCCCAGCACTGTTTGGGAAGGGCTTTGGGAAGCACTGGATGGCTGTCTCCCCATAACCAAGGGCTCGGCATCCAAGCTACAGGAGAGGCTTGTCCAGATGAAGAGAACATCCTAGGATGTGACTGGAGTTCACTGGGCGTCCATGGGGTTAGCACGGAGCAAAGTGCACGTGGCATTCAGAGGGTTTGGAACTGAAGAGTAAACTCTCGAGGTAAGAGGGGGTTTCCATGGTGACTCAGCAGGAAAGAATCTGCCTGCAGCACAAGAGCTGCAGGAGACTCAGGTTCGATCCCTGGGTCGGGAAGTTCCCCTGGAACAAGAACTGGCAAACCACTCCAGTATTCTTGCCTGGAGAATCCCATGGACAGAGAAACCTGGCAGGCTACCGCCCGTAGGGTCGCCAAGAGTCAGACACGACTGCAGTGGCTGAGCATGCATGCACGCTTGATGAAGGAAAGGGTTTCTACCATGTGTGGCTCTATCTATTTCTGGCTTCCACCACCTGATGGGTCTACCATTCATGGGTTCTCCTGCTTCTGGGTCCACTGGCCTCCTTGGTTACCAAGCTTCCTCCTCTCTTGGTCCCATAAAGCCCTTCCCTGGCCACGTCCGCCATGTTTCCCTGTTGTTTGATGGGAGAAAGAGAGATGTTGTTTCTGTAGGCAGCTTGTGGAGGTGAAAGCTAGAACTTCCTCCCAGCCTGGATGTTTGGGACCACGGATTCCTCATTTTGGGCCTCTGTCGTCTCTGTGGCCCCTTCACTCTACACTTCCCCCACCCCAGACTCTCCCTGCCTCTCAAGAGGAGGATGATTACTCACAAAGACCAGCCGGGCCCAGAAATAGCCAACCTATTTGCAGTTTAAATGCAAGCAGTTTTATTTTTACAGAGAGTTGCTGCGTTTTCTCTGAGTATAAAGCATCAGCTACGACGAGTGAAACGCCTGCTCCATCTGCAAGTGTCCCTGCTTTTGTTGGTGGTGCCAATTAGTCACAAAACAATCAGTGCCTTCCCCTGCCCACTCGATCAGGGGAAGAGAGTGCCATCCCCTCCAGGCTTCCCCCGGGCCGTCTCCCCCTACCTGGACCCCATCCGGCCACTCCAGGCACCGCTTCCCGCTGCCTTGGGTTTTGTTTACCTGGTGACCGTTACCAGTTTCCAAATGTGGCATCTTGTTCCCTGCAGGATGGACAGATGCCCCTGCTCTGTTAGGAGCTGGGAGAAGCAAACTGGGGAGGCTGTCTGTTCTGTTGACTTAAATCGTGACGTTGGAGGCTTCCTTCCCGTGGGTCCCTCAGCTCAGGGTTTCACACCCCCCGAACGGACAGGGTGAAAGGTTCATGGATCGGGACAGTCCCTGAGCCTCTAAGCAGCGGCTGCCGTGGAGCCGAGGAGTGGAGCGCTCCCCGTCCTTCACTCCGCTTTCCCTTCTGGTCTCTTCCTTCCCGCCTGTGACCTTGGCACCTTCTCAGCCAGCCTGATCCTTCTCTTCCAATCGTACTTGCTTCTGCGTGTCTGGTCTCCTCTCCTCCGACCGCTCCTTTCTCTCGGCCTGGCCGGTGGCCTCAGGCGGTCCCAGTTTCCCTGCAGTTTCTGATGGTCCTCGGGGGAAAGGAAAGGTCTTCAGGAGGCTGACTCTCCTTCTTTGGAGCATCGCATCCAGGTAATGCAATCACACTGAGTCTCCCCCATCTTCTGCTCTGCTGCTCAGCACTGCCTGCCCAGTAGGTGCCCAGGCCTCACCTTGTTCTGCCTGCGATTTGGAGATCTTCGGGGAGGTGCCCTGGTACCCTCCTGCTCTTCCACTGGAAGGCAGAGCTGCGGGTCAGGTTCCCCACCAGGCCAATTTGGCTGGCCTCTCATCTTCCTGCTTAAGAAAACAGTCCGAAGAAAGCTCCGTCTGTGGGTTCCTAAGCCTGCTTTCCCATAGAATCCCAATTTGCTTTCCTGCCCTCTGTTGATTGAATCAGTCCCAGGAGTCCACAGCTACTTTGCCACAGTAACCATGAAGGAATACTTTGGGGGAAAAAAATAAAGGAATAAATGCTACCACAAATGGGTGGTGGGGGGATCTTCACTGCAAGGCTTGGCTACTCAGACCTTCCAGAAGCCTCTTGCTCAGTCTTGGCGCCTTCACTTGCAGTCTGTTGACCAAGAAGAGGGTCTCGGGAGAAAGTAACTTGACTGCCTGGGTGAGGATCTGCATCTAACAGAAACAGCTGCTCCCAGGAATCGTCTTTGAGCCAGGCTGAGAAGCGAGCTGGGAACTGGTGCTCGTCCACCCCTGGAACCCAGTTCTGGGCTCGCTCTCTCTCCCCTCCATTGCATCACACTTGCACACTCACATGGGCATGAGACTCTCTGAACACGGGTTGTAGGAAAGGAAAAGAAAGTGTCAGTCGCTTAGTCGTCTCCGACTCTTGTGACCCCTTGGGGTGTAGCCCACCAGGCTCCTCTGTCCTCGGGGATTCTCCAGGCCAGAATACTGGAGTGGGTTGCCATGCCCTTCTCCAGGGGATCTTCCCCACCCAGGGATCAAACCCAGGTCTCCCGCACTGCAGGCAGATTGTTTACCATCTGAGCCACCAGGGAAACCCTGTAGGAAGGGAAGGGATATTTAATTGTTTAACCACGTGTTGCTCACTATGCAGGTGCATTCCTACACCTCACTGAACCATTGCAGCTTTGGGTCATGATGAGTTCCATTCTACAGGGGACAAGACTGAGTCTTCCAGAGCTTGGCAGAGATCACTTGACCAGTCACAGGCTGAGTCAGGAATCTGTGCTGTGGCTTAGATTGTGTCTTTCGGCTACACACACGATTTTGTGTGCAGTGTTTCTCTGGGCTGTCTTCTTCCTCAGCCCTGGCTGGCCCTGGTGGTTTGGGGTGAGGGGGAGGTCAGTCACCTCACGTGATCACCAGCCTAGTCCCACTCTGGATCGGAGTGAAGATTTTCACTTGAGCGTGTCTCTGAGCGATGCCATTTGAAGCACAGCTTCTGCTGATAAGCGTGGGACCATCTGCTTGGCACATCTCGAATTTTTTCAGCAGTGGGAGAGCAGCTCTGATTTCCTCAGATGTGTCTGCCTCCTCCGGGGACATCACTTGGCTGGATGCAACCTGGGTTGATCCTTCTCTGCCTTGCTCAGAGGGCACTGGTGTGTTGTGGTTTCTGTTGCTTCTCAAGTCGGGTGGGCAGCCCATGGGGGGCCAGCTTCTGTTGAAAGGATTCTCCTGCTCTTTGATGTGAGTATCTTGGCAGCATTTCCCAGGCAGGGCAGATAGGGGGAACTGGAGAGAGGACATGCTGGATTTCGTCCGATCACTATGCAGAGAGCAGGGAGAAGGTGGTAAGGAGTCCACCGCTGGGTATCTTGACCTTGGCACCGTGACATTTGGGGCTAGAAACTCTTTCTTGTGGGAAGCTCTTCAGCGCCTCCCAGGATGCTGAATAGCATCCCTGGTCTCAGCCCACTAGGCACCAGTTCCCTCCTCCTCTCAATGTCACCATCAAAATGCTGAATGTCCCCTCAGAGATAAAATCACCCCAAGTCTCCCCACTTGCCAGATGAGTGATCTACGGTGACCTTGCCATACCCTTGGAAAGGGAGTGAGGAGTTTCTGCTTCTCTATGCAGACGGCTCGAGGGAACGAGGCATTGAATACAAGGACAGATGTCCCCGCCGGCACATTCCCATCAGCTCCAGTACCTGCCATGGAAATTCCGTCTCACGAATGGGTTTCTGTTTGTCCAGGTTACTGCGCACACACGCAGAGGGGAGCACATGCCCTTCTCTCTGGAGCTGCACGCCCAGAAGCTCCAGCCTGGGGTCAGGTCTCTCCTTTCGGTTGCCTAGGAGCATGCAACGTTTCAGATGGCCTCCCCTGGATGCTGGTTGGCTTTTCACTCTTTTTCTTTTTCCTTTTCCTTTCCTTTCTCCTTCCTTCCCTCCCTCCATCCCTCTCTTCCTTCCTTCCTAAGATCTCCATGGTAGCCTGAGACTTCAGGACCAGGGAAGGACCGTGGGCAGCTGAGTGGGGAGGGGGGTATGGAAGAGGGTGCTTTTTTTCTTAGATTTTTAGAGAAAGCTTCAGCAAGCATCTAAACAGAGCCTTTAAAACTCTGCCTTCTACCTCCTTGAAGCTGGAATGCCCCCAAGACTCTGCCTTCTCTCATCTCTCTTGCTTTCCTGTCACCCTCGCTGCCCATCTGTTCATTGAGAAGTAAATGCAGGTAGCAGTTTCGAGTAGACCTGCCAGCCCACATCCTTAAACATCCATAGAAACCACCATGCTTGTTTTCTCTGCTTGTTGATTTATGATCTCAGTCCAGCATGTCCATGAGACTTGTACCGGCAAAGTGCTTCTCAGTCTCTAGCTTTTCTGACACCCCAGGCTTCCAGAAGGGCAGTAAACTATGTGCCAACTCTGCGAAGAACCTGGGGTTCAGAGGGGCTAAGCTGCTTTGTTTAGGACTCACATCTGTGGTCAGTTTGAGTGAAAGCGTGGCTCTCAGACAAAGCAGGATAAGCAGACAGAATACACAGTCACTCCTGTGACATAATTTGAACAATGTCCAATCTTTTTTTTCTGAACATTTCTTTTGCATTCAAATGCTTTACTGACTATGATTCTTTAATGTTTGCGGGAGGGAGGTGGGTGTTATGTTCTATCATAGCCTGGTTCATCATCAGTTCAGTTCAGTCGCTCAGTCCTGTCCGACTCTTTGCGACCACGTGGACTGCGACACACAAGGCTTCCCTGTCCATCTCCAACTCCCAGAGCTTGATCAAACTCAAGTTCATCAAGTCAGTGATGCCACCTGACTATCCCATCCTCTGTTGTCCCCTTCTCCTCCCACCTTCAATCTTTCCCAGCATCAGGGTTTTTTCCAGTGAGTCAGGTGGCCAAAGTATTGGTGCTTCAGTATCAGCCCTTCCAATGAATATTCAGGACTGAGTTCCTTTAGGATTGACTGGTTTGATCTCCTTGCTGTCCAATGTATTCTCAAGAGTCTCCTCCAACACCAGATTTCAAAAGCATCAATTCTTCAGTGCTCAGCTTTCTTTATGGACCAATTCTCACATCTATACATGACTACTGG